AACTGGGGATAGAACATCATTTTATTTTCATAAAAACGGAACCATCAACATGGTTCATACTGTGATAGCGATTTTGAATGGAATTGTTATTCTAAAACTCAATAATTCTTCAACTTGATGGTCCCTTCATTATCAAGTTGCAGAGAGTCACAAAATTGATTTGAATTTGACTGCTAAAATTTGTTCGAAAATCATGACGTCTCTGCCAGACCCAGATGTCAATAATATCGATTCCATGCCTCTTCATATCATTCCCGTTCCAAAAATAGGAAGGAAGGTATTTGACAGTTTATTTTACGAACCGGAAGCCGCCAACTTAGGATTCCAAAATGCCCTAGATCATCTACATTACACATAAGTTCACTATACACTACTAGAATACACCACATTATATTTTGAATTCTTCTTCTGTTCAATTTTCACACTGCCGTACTATAACAGAACTATTAATCTATCCTATTGAAACATTTCACTAGCTTATAAATTATCGCACTAATGCTTCATGTTGATATTCAGCTATTCCATAGCAAAACGGTATAGTGGTTCTCTGAATTTCGCAGAAATTGTTAGCTTGTTCTTTATCGCAAAATATTAATACCGTAGTTAAGATTTTGTCATTAGGGTGACAATTTCCATAGTGGTCCAAATAATCTACTTTTCTCAAAAATTACTTTGAAAAAAAAAAAAATATCATAGCTTTTGAACCACTCGATTTCAAAGCAAAATATCAAATGAAATGTACTTAAACATACTTTAAAAAAATTTAATGATAGATCAAAATTGGGATTTTGTATTGAAAACATTGACTATATTTGAGTTTTATGGTTTGTAGATAGAGGACGCAACATGTTTTTATATCTTTCCTTTAAAATTTAGAATTTTTTACACAACGCATCAAAAAATAAGCGATGTGTTTTTGAGTTATATATTTTTTATGTCATCAAGACCTCTCCCGCAATGTTTAAATTTTTCCCTTTACCAACACATACGTGAAGGATAGATATCCACACCTTGGATAGATCAGATTGTTTTCGATACAAACTGATGTGACTACTACGGGGTATCTGAAGCAGGATCCACCACGTTCTGTTTTTAGACAATTCATTCTTATTCTTTGACGACGATGACTTAGAAAGATTAAGCAAAAGGTTTATGGAGCATTTCAGGTTATCCCTTCAATAAAATAAAATAAGATCAGAGCTTGATGATACAAATATAGCAGTATATTACAGAAAAAATGTGTAATGTATAAAAATCAATATTACCTGTAGAATGGAGCTAACTTTCCTAGTTTACTTCTTGAATGATCCAATTAATTCGAAAATGACTAAACACAACAATACTCTACTTTGGGAAATACAAATCACTATTCACAAGCACCTTGCCAAATATTTACTCAGACTAAAACACCTAAAGAGAAATAAATAACAAAAGGTCCCTGATCTAACGGCAAATAGTAGGACCATGCGAACTAACGGAAAGCACTCCTCAGCAGAGGAAGCTGTAAGGTAAATAAAACAATCGTCGACTGCGCAAACTGCTACACAGTAAATAAACAACCCATTTTCCTCCGAAAAAAGGATCTTTGCGTTGCTTTCTCGTAGTGACCCAATCAATCGCAGCATAGCTAAGGAGCTTTCCGTTGTCCATTTTTGTTTGCACAGATCCCACGTGGAGCAGTGAAGAACCAAATTCCAAAGAAGAAAAATAAGCGCAAGGATAAAAGTGACCAACTGTTTACCAACCACATGTCTCCGAGTGGAGTGGAACAAAAAGAGTGTGGAAATCCTCTTTCCATTTCGAATGGTGTTAACTCGCATATCAGCTGTGGGACATCGCGGAACCATCTCCCAGGGCTACGCGCACTTTGCTACGTGCCACATCTGGGAGATATGGTGCCGCCACCGCCGCCGGATTTCGGGTCGTGCCTTTTGCACTCCGTTTGTGTCGTCTCCAATCGTTCTTTTTCGCTTTGTCACCTTCTTCAAAGGCAAGATTAGAAGTTGCTTTTTTACAATTTCGAGTGGATGGTTGGCGACAAGGAAACAAGTTGCCGAGGAACTGGGTCGCCCGTTATGACTTTCTACATCAAGATAGGAAAATAAGGGTTAACGGGGTGCGTCGTCTGGAAACCAATCTGTTTCGAAAGTTCTGCTGCTGCTGCAGAGGCGGATTCAGTGGTAAAGGGTAGTAAATTAGGCTGCGATTGGATTTGTATTTGAAATCCCGCATTCAAATCGTTACAACATGTTGCAGACAAGGACGAAAGGAGTCACCAAATCCGCTTTAGGTTCCTCAGCACGCCTGACATCTGCGATTTAGAGTCGTCTTAGTACTGTACCAGCATTCTTCTACATCCTGCTGTTTGCGTCCATTGACACTTTTGATCTTATTCTACCCTTTGGGCAAGAAGCAGGGCGAATGTGGGATCAAAACCGTTTGTTTAGATTCACGCTCGCCGCATTTCCTTTCTTCGCCATCGTTGCCATAAAGGATTAAACTTGATTACAGCGACAAATTTCTCGGGATCCGGTGCGGGGCGTGCCGTTCCCTGTCAATAAGTTTCATTCGCTCCAACATGCTGGTCTAGCGTCTTTTCTGTATGATAATTTATGACTTCTTGAGCTATAAATATATTCTCATTTAGACATGGCAGGGCAGAATAGAGCAATAAGGAGTCCACCCTGCAGGCTGATTTTTTGCTTGATGAAAAAACCTCATCTCAACCCCGATGAAACCTTCGGACAATTTTGCTCCTTTTATGATGGGATTTTATTGCAACTGAAAACCATAATATTTACCACATTTCTTTACACGGTATTCCTTGTCTGGCGTGCGTTTTGAACAGGTCGTATGAAAGAAACGTAAACAAAATGACATTTTAATGCTACCAGGCACTACTCTGCTTACTTTTTGTTAAGGCAACATTTGGGCCTGCTTCCTCAATTCTGTTTTAATTTCTCATGAAAAAACTATATGTCCTATGTGCCAACTGATCAAAACAAAGCTCAACTTCTATGGGGGTGTCAAACGTCGTATGTAACAAATCTGACAGAATCTGTGTTTTTTTTTTTCAATGTAAGTTATAATATATTTTTAACAATTAAAATGCGTAGGGTCGAATGTAACACCACACTATACCAAAGGTCGTATAATATTTATTGGTTGAAAAACGTTTGTTTTTAACAGGAACGCTATTAATACCTTAATGGGAATTTTGAAACAATTATCTAGCTCATCGATAATAGAAACAATTTTCTGTTCACCAAAACAAAACACCTCGTTTCTCTATTTGACAAAAGTGTTACACACGACCCAATCAAAAAGGACTCCAGTTGTGTCCTTTTTTCCATCGCGTCGCAGAAATTGCTTACAGCTTGCCTCAAACCAGGCGTGCCGAATGGGAAACGGCTGGCTGTGTAACTTATCGCCGTGGCACCCCGTGTGGAATGTGTTTTTTTCGCCTTTGGTGTCCTTCGAATAAACGGGCTCATCTCGACCGATGGCGGACAAGACCAATTTGCTGATCCGTAAAGATATGCGGAAAATTGGATGAAACCCGGCTAAGTTTCTCCGGGTAAAAATATTGATGATACGGCTCAGAAAATGTCACACAGCCCGCAATTTGCTCCAGTTCATGGTGGCTTTTTATATTGCGATAAGATGGTTAAGTAAGAGCATATGCGTTAAATAACATCAAAGCTGTGAGAGCCGCTGTCGAGCTGCTTGGAATTTATAAAATGGTTGGTTGAAGGAGAAAACATTCGGAATCGATTGAAGTGACTCCTATAGCGGTTTTGAAAGATTTGCTGCTGCTGTCTATTGGAATTAACCCAAACAAATTTCGAAGGAGTATAGGAACAAACGATTGTCTAGCGTTGCTTTCATTTGATATTCAACTGGTCTTTGCGCACAAGGAGAAATTGGCTTCAGTTTTTTTTTGATATTAAGGGCACATTTGATTCTGTTTCCATAGACAAACTGTCACACAATTTGCACAGTAGTGGATTACCCGAAATTTTTAAATAATTTCTTGAATAATTTGCTGTCAGCAAACCAAATGACCTTCAATTTAGGTCAACTGACAACTTCTAGAATTAGCTACATGGGCTTACCCCAAGGTTCATGTTTAAGTCCCTTACTTTATAATTTCTATGTCAAATATATTGATAACTGCTTACATAATCGATGCACGCTTAGCCAGCTTGCAGAGGATGCAGTGGTTTCCCTTAGAGGTTCACGTGCGGAATTCTCGCAAAGACGATTGCAACATTCCCTAAATAATCTGTCTTTCTGGGCAAGAAATTTAGGGATCGAGTTTTCTTTTGCGGTGAAATTGGTAGTGTTTACAAGGAAGCGGTTTCCAGCCCAATTGCGTCTAAATCTTTTGGGCAGAGACATTACCCAATCTTTAACCTTCAAATACCTTGGAGTCTGGTTTGATTCAAAATGCAATTGGGGTACCCACACTAAGTATTTGAAACAAACGTGTCAACAAAGGATCAACTTTCTACGAACAATTTCTGGGACATGAGCTTCGGTGTCTTCAATGAATACTCAACTGCCTTTTGGAAACTTCAGGAACTGTTGCTGTTGCAGTCAGGCCTGAAAGGGTTGCGGTAGCATAACTACCGTGAACGCGCCCCTTTGATGCACCCGTTTTTGACGTTTCTTGCCGTCGCTGTAGCAGTCACAGCACGGGTATCTGTAGGTCTCCATTGATAAATTTTGAGGATTGGAAGAAAGAAACCGGTTGGACGAACTTGAGGAGGAAAATCAGCAAAAAATCCTCGAACTTCAACGGAAGCGGATTGCTAGACGGAAGAAGGAGCTCGAGCGACGGATGGAGCTGACACAGATTATCAACGGTTCTGATGGCGAATCAGATTCAGAGGCCGAAGTTGAATCGATGGACAAAAGCGGGGAACCGCAGCCGGAGAAGCAGCTCCCGAAGAGTCTAGGTGCGGTTCGCAAAGATCCAAAGAAAAGGTCCGCCGAAAATGTTCGATCGTTTCAAGGAACTTCTGGAAGATCGGAATGGAAGTAAACCCCAGAAGCCAGTACCAGGAAAGTCCACAAGAATGAGATCATTGCTTTCTGCAAATCCGAGACTGCCTCGTCCGTCTTTTGAGAAAGATGATGAAGCACTAGAGTCAATCCTCGACGGTGGGGACTACAAAGGCGATAAAGTGGTTGCGAAGGGACCAACACGGCTCCAGATAGCGTCTCGACAGGTATTTCCGAGGAGCCTGCCGATGTTTTATGGAGCAGCAGAAGAGTGGCCGATCTTTATCAGCGCCTACGAGCAGGCAAACCAGTCCTGTGGATTCACCAACGCAGAGAATTTGGTCCGTCTACAGAATGCTCTGAAGGGGAAAGCATTGGATACGGTTCGAAATCGTCTGCTTTTGCCGGAGAACGTGCCGTTGATCATCGAGAAGCTGAGGAAGAAATTTGGGAATCCGGAGATCCTGTCAACCAGATTGGCGACAAAGATCCAGCAGCTAGAGGGACCAAGCTCGGAGAGTTTGGAGTCGGTGATCGAGTTCGGAAGTGCCGTCGAAGAGTTTACTCAGCATCTCAAAGAACCCAATTTTGATGCAGAGTCTAGTTCAGAAGCTGCCGTCGTACTATGCCATGGAGTGGGTGGACTACAAGCGACGCGCACAGTCAGTCGACTTGGAAACATTCGGTGCATTCATGGAAGGTCTCGTAGAGAAGGCGTTGGAAGCAACCTTCGAGAAGGCAGATGCAAAGGAGAAGGGTAAGATGCGAAATAGACCACAAACGAAGGCTTTCGTTCACGTCACGGATGGAGATAGCGGCCGGTCTGGGAGTGTGATGTCAGCTGGGAAGAATTCGTCACCCCAACCCCAGCGCCGAGAGTTGAAGTGTTCCGTGTGCCAAAAGTCTGGGCATTACGGAAGGAACTGCCAGGAATTGCTCAAACAGAGTGTTGCAGAGCGGTGGAAAACGGTGACTCGGTTGAACCTCTGTCCACTCTGCCTTTACGACCATGGACAACGATCATGTTGTAAAAGAGTTCGTTGCAAGGTAGATGGCTGTCCGGAAAACCACAATGCCCTTCTTCATGGTGGACCAGCCGGATACTCGCGAACTCAGGTGCAGTGTAATAGTCATCGTCAGTCGAAATGTGCAGTTCTGTTTAGGATGGTTCCAGTGACGCTGTACAACGGCAAGAAAAGAGTAGATACTCTAGCACTCATCGATGAAGGATCTTCGGTTACCATGGTGGACAGTGAATTAGTGAGAACGTTGGGTGCCGATGGACCAGTGGAACCACTGCAGATGACTTGGACAAACGGCGTACAGCGCACGGAGTATCAATCGAAAAAAGTGGTGCTTGAAATATCTGCCAAAGACTCGTCGAGTAGATACTATCTGCTGGAAGCTCATACGGTGCACAGGTTAAACCTCCCTGCACAGAAGCTGGATTCAGCGAAGTTGGTCCAGGAGTTTAAGCACCTTGAAGACATCGACATTCCCAGTTACGAGAGAACTACACCTCGATACACCGCTGGGGATCGATAATCTTCACTTGATCGCCCCGCTGGACTCACGAATTGGAGAATCTGGTAAACCAGTTGCTATTTTGTGCAAGCTCGGCTGGACGGCTTATGGTCCACAACCAAACGTCGTAGGAAAGGTGCATTTTCTGGGACATCATCGGTGCTCGTGTGAGGAGCGCAGCAAAGCGGATAAGGATCTGGACGAGGCGATGAAGAAACAATATCAACTTGAAGACGTCGGAGTGTCACCTATTCGTTTAGAGTCGAAGGAAGATCGTAGAGCACGCGAGATTTTGGAGAAGACCACTCGAAGAGTGGGTAGCAGGTTCGAGACAGGATTACTCTGGAAAGAAGATGATGTTCGATTTCCGGAGAGTTTAGACATGGCCATGAAGCGGTTGCGATGTTTATAGGCTCGGATGAACCGGAATCCTGGGGTGCAGGAATGTTTTCAGAAGCAGTTGGAAGAATATCTTGCCAAGGGCTACGCGCATCGTATCACCGAGCAGGAGTTAAAGGAGACGCCGAAGAGTAAAGCTTGGTACCTACCGCTAAACTACGTGGTACATCCGAAGAAACCTGGCAAGGTGCGGTTGGTCTGGGATGCGGCAGCGAAGGCTCATGGAGTGTCGCTTAACGATAAGCTGTTGAAGGGTCCAGACATGATAACGTTGCTACCAGCTGCTATAAGTGGATTCCGCGAGAGAAACGTGGCGTTTGGAGGTGACATTAGGGAAATGTTTCATCAAGCATGGGTTCGTGCAGAAGACCGTCAAGCACAACGGTTCCTATTCGTGGGTCCGAACGGAGCGGTGGAAACCTACGTGATGGATGTGGTTATCTTTGGCTCGACCTGTTCGCCTTGCTCCGCACAGTACGTGAAAAACTTGAACGCGCGGGAACATACCGAGCAGTATCCGGAGGCTGCCGATGCTATCGTCCGAAAGCACTATGTCGACGACTATTTCGACAGTGCCGATACAGTAGAGGAAGCGGTGAGACTAACGATGGATGTGCGACGTGTACACGCCAACGGTGGGTTCGAGATTCGGAACTGGGTTTCCAACTCACAGGAAGTGTTACGTCAGCTCGGAGAGGAGAAGTCTGTGGTGAAACCACTAGAAGTAGACAAGCATTGCGCTACGGAGAGAGTCCTGGGAGTGCTGTGGGACCCGGAAGGTGATCACTTCGTTTTCTCAACGGAGATTCGCCAAGACCTTCAGCCCTACATTCGGGAAGGTGCTTGGCCAACAAAGAGGATTGTGTTGCGGTGCATTGCCAGCTTGTTCGATCCGACGCAGTTCCTGGCTCCGCTGTTGATACACGGACGGGTCATAATGCAGGATTTATGGCGTAGCGGCATAGGTTGGGACGAGAAGCTCGCGGAAGCTCACTACAAGCGGTGGGTGCAGTGGACACAGCTATTGCATCTAATCGATGAGATTCGTGTTCCACGGTGTTACCTCGGTGGATTGGACTCGAAGGTCTATGAAACGATGCAGTTACACGTTTTCACTGACACTGGAGATGCGGCATATGGATGCGTGGCCTACTTCAGGTTCGAGGACGGCGAAGTCGTTCACTGCGCATTCATCGAGGCCAAAGCGAAGGTGGCGCCATTACAGTACCTGTCTACACCACGGTTGGAGCTAGAAGTGGCTGTTCTCGGTGCGCAATTAACAAAGTCGATCTGCGATGCCCATTCCTTTCCGGTAGCGAAGCGGTTCCTGTGGTGTGACTCGGATACGGTAGTATCATGGGTGAAATCGGACCAACGAAGGTATAAGCCGTTCGTTGCCTGTCGTATTGGCGAGATCCTCAGCATCACGAATCCAGAAGATTGGCGTTGGGTAGGAACGAAGGACAATCCAGCGGACGATTTGACGAAGTGGGGCAAAGGAACGGAGATCAAGTCGGGAAGCTGATGGTTCCATGGACCGGATTTTCTGTATCACGGAGTGGAAGAATGGCCGAAGCAAAAGCGTCCAAAGGTGGAAGTTGCCGAAGAGCTCCGGGCGAGCGTGCTGCTGCATCACATCGTGTTACCCGAGGGGTTCACGGAGAGGTTGCAGCATATTTCGCGTTGGACAGTAATGGTGCGGACCCTAGCAACAGTGTTCCGATTCGCGTCCAGCTGCCGGCGACGCGTCAAGAAGCTGCCGATCGAAGCCATTAGGAAAGGTATCAAGCAAGGATCAACGTTCCCCGCCATGGATGTGCCGTTGCGACAGGAGGAGTACCAGGCTGCAGAAACAGTTTTGTGGAAAGTAATTCAGGCAGACGAGTTTGCCTACGAAGTGAGGACCCTGGTGAAGAATAAGGATTCGACAGTACATGAAATGTCACTAGAGAGGTCGAGTAAGCTGTATCGTCTTGCGCCGTTCCTGGATGAGGATGGTGTCGTGCGGATGGAAGGTCGTACAGAAGCGGCGGAATATGCGGCATTTGATGCGAGGTTTCCGATCATTCTGCCGAAGGACCACGTGGTGACTCGAAGGTTATTAGAACACTACCATCGGCAGTATGGGCACAGCAGCAGAGAAACCGTTGTAAACGAAGTTCGGCAGCGATTCTACATTCCGTGTCTCCGAGCGCTAGTAGATCAAGTGATGCGAGCCTGTGTGTGGTGCAAGATTCAGAAGATGAAGCCAATTGTTCCGAGAATGGCACCCTTAACAGGGCAACGTTTGGCAGCGAGGGTCGATCCGTTTTCGTACGTCGGCATAGACTATTTTGGTCCACTGGAAGCGTCTATTGGCCGAAGGAAGGAAAAGCGATGGGTGGCACTTTTCACGTGCCTAACTGTGCGAGCGGTACATTTGGAGGTGGCGTACAACTTGACGACTGAGTCGTGCAAAATGGCAATCAGGAGGTTCGTAAAGCGGCGTGGCAGTCCGATCGAGATCCTTTCGGATAACGGCACGAACTTTGTCGGTGCCAGTCGAGATCTGCTGAAGGAAATAAATCTAGCATGTGTGGATACCTTTACCGGTGCGAGGACTCGTTGGACCCACCGGCTGCCCCACACATGGGAGGTGCGTGGGAGAGAATGGTGCGCTCGGTGAAAGAGGAACTAAAAACATTCACAGATGGTCGGAAGCTGACGGACGAGATCCTGCAGACGGCACTGATCGAGGCGGAGAACCTGATCAACTCTCGTCCACTCACCTACGTGTCCACCAACGTGAAGGAAGACAAGGAAGCGTTGACGCCGAACCACTTTTTGCGTGGTCGTTCATCGGTCGAGTGTCTGCCGTCGAGGAATCCCATTGACCTGGCCAACACGTTGCGTAGTAGCTACCATCGCGCACAGTTCTTGGCGATTGGATTCTGGGATCGTTGGCAGAGGGAATACCTGCCGATGTTAAACAAGAGGTCTAAGTGGTTCGTGGATCAGCGACAAGTAGCGGTTGGAGATTTGGTGTTCGTGGCAGATGGAGAGAAGCGAAACGTCTGGGAGCGAGGCGTGGTGAAGAAGGTGTTCGTTGGGAGTGACGGAAGAGTCCGTTCAGCGTCCGTTCAGACAAGCAGAGGCGAGAAGGTCAGACCGTTAGCGAAGCTAGCCGTTCTGGAGGTCACTTCGAAGGAGTAATCCCCGTACTGTTCCTGATGGAACCAGCCACAGGGTTTACAAGCGGGGGAATGTTGCCGTTGCAGTCAGGCCTGAAAGGGTTGCGGTAGCATAACTACCGTGAACGCGCCTCTTTGATGCGCCCGTTTTTGACGTTTCTTGCCGTCGCTGTAGCAGTGAGGCGCATAGATGAATGTATTCACACAAAGGTGCGATAGTGAGTGGGATAAGCTGAACACGGCCATCGCTTTCGCACTACTTTGTTTGTTTACCCCAGCAGCTGGCCTGGAAAGAGGAGAGTATAGACTCCATCGCGATAGATGTGTTTTTGTTGTTGCGAATTATGTTTTGTGCCGATTATTGTACCTAGTAAGTTGTGTAATTTGTAGTTTATTAGTTTATTTGTAGCTTTTTAAATATTGTGAAATCATTGATTGTTCGCCACTGTTGTACCGCGGGAAGCAGATATGTTTTCATTTAGTGTATTACTGTTCAATAACCGTAAGTTAAATATTATGTAAAGGTGACATGTTGTTCAGTGCCTTTTATTTAATTAATTGATAGGACCTCGCTAAGCCCGCCGAAGGTAGATTGGCATTGAGGAGTTGCAGGCGTTGAAAAACTAAATTGTAAGTTGTCGATTGTATGTTTGTTTAATGTAAATAGTTTGTTAATTTTGAATATATTTTAGTTGAGTTCATCCGTCAAAAGACCAAATCGTTTTTCATTCGCACCGAAGGGGTGCGAACAGGAACCTTGTTCCGTTTATGTTGCTAGCAGCAATCAACTTCACATTGGGGATGATTTCCGACATGCCCATAGACCATAGCTTCATCTTCTCGGATAGTCATAGTCTCAGTTCGATTGAGGCTATTCGGTCGGTATTTAGGCACTCATCGTATTACCTTTCAAATGTAAGGGAGCAGAAGAGTTTGCTGGTTCAACCTTTGTATTGGTTCCCTCACATTGCTCAATCCCAGTCAATGATAAGGGAGACTCTCTCGCAAAGGTGGACGCACAACAAGGCGAGATTTATAATAGAAAAATTTCACATGATGAATTTTTCCCATTCCTACGTCAGAGTTCTCTTCTAAGTTGGCAAAACGATTGGACAAGTAATTCTCTCGGGCGGTGGTTACATTCCATTGCTCCAAATGTTTCTTCGAGAGCGTGGATCAAAGGTCTGGATGTAAGTCGAGGATTCATTCGCGTGATGTTATGTCCAACCACTACTAGCTAGTCTCTCTACAGAATAAACCTCGTTGACAGCAATTTATGTAGGTGCAGGACCGGTTATGATGACATCGATCACGCAGTTTGGCATTGCCCGAGTAATGACGCCTCCAGAGCACGTTTATTGGATACCCGAGTGGTCCGAGGTAGACAACTCTTCCGTGAAATAAGAGATGTATTGGGAACCCGTGATCTTCCCTACATGCGGGCGATCTATGAATTCCTTTGTTTGTCTGATGTTAAAGTTTTAGGTGACCATCTCCTCCTTTCCACACATTTTCCAGCCATTGTGTCCCAGTCTTATTATCCATAGTTTCTGTGCTACTTGCTCCTGCCCAGCCAGCATTTTGTCAACCGTTCGAGAGTAGTATCTGAAGGAGGCTCCTATCTAGCTCCTTCCAATCGAAATTGTTACTCATTAACCTCGAGCCCGCTACGAGTAATTGGTACCCAATACTAACCTAGATTTACTACTGTTTAAAACGTTAACTAAAAAATTACGGATTTTTGGCTCCAAAAAGTGTCACACACAACTGAGCCTAGTAAATAAACAAACTAGTTCAAAAAATTCGTTGAGGTTCCCAGATTTTCCCTGCAGATCCCAGTGCTTAATACCTTGTACAGACATACCGACTAGTACCCAATGTCGTGCATATAAGGTCCGGGCAGCTTGCTGCTATAGAAGCAAACATTTTGTAAACATTGCTGAGCATTTTAAGTGACGACGTCAATCCACCATAACACTGAATACTGCGAATAGTGAGATTGACATCACTGCCAACAGCTGTTTTGTGTATGAAGATAAACATTTCAATGAATTATGAACACTACTAAACTAAAGAGCCTGAATTTATGAAGAGTCGACTTGTCCAAATTGGAACGATCGATTATCTATCAAAGTCGTAGGAAAAATTATTCCAATCATGCAGAAGACCTGTCAAATGGATAAGATGTCGTCTCTTCATAAATTCAGGATCTTTGCACTAAACATTTGCACATTTCACTAACACCATTAAGCCTGCTAGCCCGGACGCTGGGAATAAGAAGCGCTCATAATGCGATAATATTATTTAGCATGCTTTTTGTGCTGAACGGAAACTGGAGAGAATCATCGTCTTACTTTTGATTTTCCAGTTATTACTATAATTCAGATGAATGTAACCTTGTAAAAAATTAAAGTTATTGTAAAATCACCATGCTTAAAAAAATCATTATCTGAATCATCGTCGTAAAAACCCGCGTAGTTTTAAAAATCGTCGTAAATAAATCCACGTACATATAAAAGTACATGCTTAGTTAGAGTAGTTCAAATATCGATTTGGCTCCACCAAGCTTAATCGATTTAAAATCAAGATCATTTTGACGACATGCTAGGTCGATGAGAACAAAAAGTATATTTTTCCCATAGTACCTACTTCGCATCAAGAACTCAAAAATGTAAATCGACCAAGTCGAAAAAATAGTGCAGCTTTGTTTCTCTCGTTTGATACATTTTAACATTCGAGGAACATTTGAATTGCACCCAAGACAAATTTTCATTGAAGTAGCACCCCAATTTACGTATACGTTTGCAATTCGTCAATCAAGTCAGATATGCGTGTTGGAATGTTCTCTTCTGTTTCGTATAAAATCTAGCTTAGATCAAATAAAAACCGTGACCCCCATCATTCACCCATACGCTTTAATCCCCAAACCACAGCGACCAGCAATCCACCAAGCTTATCCAGCGCGCATTCCGCTGCACATCTCTTCCCAAAAATAAACCGAACGTAATCGGCGTCGAGGAATCTAAATCCCATCACCAAAAACGGGCATCCTTGTGTGATTGATGGACCACCGCTGGCGCTCGTTGGTTCTCGGCAAACAACAGCATAGCACCACCAAGAAGCCGCCTCGTGAGTCCGTGCATCGCTTCCTCGAGGTGAGGGAAATAAAATTCTTCGTTGGGAAACGAAAATTCTTGCATCCTACCCTAATCAGCAGTTAAAAGTTAAAACTACATGAGTTCTTGCGATGATTATCATTCTTTACTCACGCCGGTGAGGCTTGCTCGTGGCCACCTTCTTCGCGGAGAATCAGATTCCAAGGCAGCAAGCGCGCGCGCCTTCAGCTGCTGGCTGTCGAACCGTGTTGGGAGGTGAAAGAAGAAGGCCAACTTTTCTGAGGCATCGTGGGGTTTCAACAAACAAAGGGAAAATGCCATTGCAGGCAAAAGTTCTGAGCGTTTCGAGTAGATCTGAAGTTCGTTCTTTGTTCGGGGGTGAGATATCTATGCTGAGAACTTGTTTTAACTTTTTGATCGACTGCTTGGCTGGCGGAATTCGGCGCGTTGTTGTGGCAGAGTCAAGGTCAAGAAGAGATTGAGATAATGCTGGGGCTGGTTGCTTACGAATTGTTGAATTTCTCCAAAGAGTTGTGTATGCCAAAAACGAATAGCGAAAGTTTGCTGGCAAAAACCGTAGGTTCCACCCTTTTGAGACGACGTGACCCTAACTATATAAAAAATCAAAGGTGATTGTTAGCTACATAGGGCTGTACATTATGTACATAAATAGAGTTGTACATCAGAAAATAATGCTATGTTCAGACTAATGAGTTAAAACATTGTACTAAGCTATCTTGATGACATTTTTCTTGACGGTAATTATTAAAGTATGTAACAAGGTCTTTAATGTAAACAAGCCAGTTGTTAAGAATCTCTCCCACAGTAATCGTTATCAGTTTTCGCTTTCCTTATCAGTAGCTAGATAGTGGTAGGACTGATCGTACGCGATTGGTATTTTTCACCACTGACCCTAGGTATCGTTTCATATACCAGGGCAGAGTTAGTTGGTTCTCGATCGTGCGCGTCTACACCCAAAATAAATCTTTTAATCTCGGCTTTCGTCGTTACTTGTATCTTTCTCCAGAGTAAAGTGCGATGGGTTTTCAATCACGCGAGTGCTTTTTACCCATTACCAATTTCGCAAGTGCCAAACTAGGTTCTCCTCCACGATACACTGGTAAGAACACCAGTATTTTATCGATATTATTTATGGGAATTGGGAAATACTTTTATCTTTTATGTGTCCAAAAAGGTCCATCAGAATGTGAATGCTATAACTTTCTAAGTCTAATCTAATCTAATACAAACGAAACTAGAAAGCATCTTGAAAATTATTAAGTTAAGCAAACCTCACACGCATCAATATATTGACGCGAAGGGGAATTATTGACAATACTATTGATGATGTGAATTCAGAAATATTGTCAATCTCGATGTATTGATGTCTGTGAACGCCGGTACCGTCGAGTTGGTCACCCTACCCTCAACCGGTTCCACCGGTTGACTGACAAGCTGATGGCAACGATGAGAACGAGTAAACAAATGTAGAATAGTTAACAGATAAACAATACAGATAGACAAGGTGGAGTTTATTTCAATAGTCTACTAAAAATTAGTTGTTCTACAAATAAATTATTTGCCTAAGTGCCTAAATTACCATTCCTTTGCATACTTAAAACTAGTGAAGGTAAGAACGTTTAGTGAAATCTTAAAATTAGACCCTGAACGTTAAATTAATCTTAAACCTACTTAGGACCAAAACGTATCCTAGAAGTTGGACGGTGAATAGAAAGGATTAATTCTATAGGGCCACTGAAATGTAAGTTTGCATTGAATTACTAAAATTAACCGTTCACTAAATTAAAACAATTGTTACAGTTTTGAAGCAAACGTCAATATAGCTGCGAAAATCAGTGCATTGCCTTTCATTCCTGTCCCAACAATGTCAATAGAGAATGTATTG